TGAATTTTAGCTTTACTGAGTTGTAGGATTACTGATTTACCAACATTTTTACAGTACATCAACATCAGTACCAAACTATCTTTGTGTTTTTCACTCTCCTGCTCAGAATGTTTTATAATGGAAGCTGCATGGTACTGAAGTCAAAGGATTTTGAGAAATGTCAAGAGATGGATAGGGGAAAGAATTATATTGAAGGCTTGCGACACAAAGTGATGTATAACAAGAGTAGGACTGCTGGATAACATCTCTGCAACAAGCAGTGCTATAGGTCCTGTCCCAGTGACAAATAGCTTTCTGCAGGGAATCTTGTTATCATGAAGGTCTAATGGAAAGCTTTCATTAAGTGCATTTTTTAACCCCTAAAAGCACTCTGGCAGTATTTTGCAACACTACTATATTGCCATGACATTCTTGAATCAAATACATGTCGAATGTCACTTCGCATTCATATTCTTTCCAATGCTTCGGGATTTTTCAATAGCTAACAGTCGATTTATGCAGATTTTTAAAAATTATCCAACTTTGCTGATTTTTCGATTTCCACTCACTTAAGAAATTAACTTTCTTCATTACTGAATTGAAATGTGGAATAGGTCAAGGTTCAGTTTTTCAGTTTACGCTGCTGAATTTATACTGTAGTTTAATAAAATGATGGCCCTCAGGCTGGTTTTAAGGCTTGTTTAAATACTTGACAAACATAAACACCATTAAATAAAATGAATGGAAAAGGACCTCAATTCTAAATTCATGAATAAGCTGAATCTTCATGGTCAAATTTAACATTGTACCATTTACAGTATAGCTACTTTTGTTAAGATTAATGTATAAAACATGCAAATCGACAATCTAAGATACAGAATAAAAGTTCCTACTGGATTGTCACCTGAATGTTATCCAAATTGTTTTACTAGTGTTGATTTGCTTTTCAAAAAAAACTTTGCTAAGAAAAAATACCCCATTCTGAGAAGCCTGAATTTTATGTACAATGGAATCTCACAGCGTTAGTCATTGCAAATGCTCTCACATATTTGGGTTTCGGGCATTAAACATGTTAAATAGGAGTCACGGTAATCTCACTTGGTCATTTACACATCAAAATTGTTTATTCACTAGAACAGGTTGGGCTCTACAAGAAGGTACGTTCCTCTGGACAAACTGGTAACTTGGAAATCTCGTCAATTTAGTCACTCTTCCTTAGCCTGAATCCAAATCATAATTGCGAAAAACTTAATGCATATATACATTGCATTTAGATAGGAACTCAAGCACTGTGCACTATTGTGTCCCAAAGCTACAAATAACTTTCAGTTAGAAATTCAAGAACAGGGAGGATAGGGAGAAATCCACATGAATAATCACAAATGTTCAGCGTACTGCATGAAAGACAAGTTATAAATTCTGGGACAGAGACACCTGGCTTAAGATAGCATTTCCAACCTAAGTCGATACACACAGCATTTTCTCGTTTAAATTTATTCTATTTTAAATTTTTTATCAGAATATGGAAATCAAAACTTTCAGTATATACAGTAATGGGGACCTCTGCAGTAAGGGTCACATCAGAACTTGGCTACTCTTCTTATGCTCAAGCCACGTCATACTACAGTATACTATACTGCCACTGTGGATATTCTGTGCAACACTACTTATATTGAAAAATCCCACAAATTTTATCTGCAGCAAAACAAATTATTTGGTATTAGTCTTCCAAAGACACTGATACTTGCAGCGGTTCAAAGTTTTTGAAGTGCAGATGGAAAGGATGCATTATGTATTACAAGAAGCACAAGGTAAAGTCTTTCATAAACAATGCAGGTCCACAACACACAATTCTGCATAATTGAGAACAGGATGTCTCAGACAGTAAGGGATGCCAGTGTGTGAAACAGAAAGGAGTCACAATGGGGAATTGAATACAGTGAGCTTTGCTCTCCATCTGGTTCAAGCTAAACCTGTGACTGGCTTTGCCAAGACTAAAGCTGGTAGACAGGGGGAAAAAAACATTGATTTAAAAATGAATATCAATGTATTCTTCCTGTCAAAACATGCTGCATCAGCAATTGATTCTGTTGGGAATTTAATTTTATTTGTTCCACTGATTTAATAATCTAATTTTAGCACTCAAAATGAGTTAGAAAATAAAAATGCCAACAAGAGAAAACAAAGTGATTGCACAGTGCTAGTAATTTAAATATAAATTATTTGCACAGGAGCTCCTGACAGCCAGCATGAATGCATCAACTAACCAATTCTAGCGCACGAGTATCTGAAGTGACAGAATTGCACTAAAAGGCACCTGTCATCTAAAGAAGCAACTTTTTTTTATTTTACTTTTCAATAGCTTACAGTACTACTAAATCCACGTTCCAAACCTGAAATTTTGGACAAGAGAGTTAGCAATTGTAATGGTAATCATAATAATAATCCTTGGATTTGATATAGCGCTTTTCATGTCTTCTAGAAGTCTCAAAGCGCTTCACAGAATATACTTTAAAGTGAATTGACTGTATTATATTTGTGGGCAAAACACGAAAGCCAATTGCGCACAGCAGCGTCCCACAAACAGTCATGGATTGAAGTGACCAGTTTATTATTGTTTTTTTCTTGAGGGATTATTATCAGGTGTGTGGAGTAAGGAAACTTGCCCAAGGTTTTGCCCTGCCGGGAATCGAACCCAGGTCTCTCGTTTGAGAGGCAAGTGCTCTAATCACTGAGCTACAGGACTCCATCATTGTCATTTTGATCATAGGATAAGATAATCAGCAACAGGAAATGCCAAAATTCCCCATGCTCTCCACCTCCTTTATAGTTTTTTGAGAATTTTATGTACTTGAGTGTCTTTAACCAAATACATAGTTAAAGCTAGAACAATCAATTAGACTTTTTTAAAAAATTGGTAGCTAATACTTAAAATTAAAAGCAATTAGTCAGATCAGAATATTGTTAAGAACCTGTTTTACTGTATTCTAAGGATGAAGAGTGCATGTTAATAAATGTCTATCAATGCAATTTTGTTGTTGTTGTGTTCTTCAGACAGAGCTCAATCCTCTTTCCTCTCCTTTTTCTCATCTACATTGGTGATATTCACAGGCGCTTCACAGAATATGCTGTAAAGTGAATTGATTGTATATTTGTGGTCGAAACGGGGCAGCCAATTACGCACAGCAGTGTCCCACAAACAGTCGTGGATTAAAAATGATCAATTTATTATTGTTTCGTTTTTTGGAGGGATTATTATTAGGCGTGTGGAGTAAGGAAACGTGCCCAAGGTTTCGCACTGCCTGGAATTGAACCCAGATGTCTCGCTTGCCAGGCGAGTGCTCTAACCACTGAGCTACAGGACTCCATGGCAGTTGAACAATTAACACACTTTTTATCTTAACTATTTGGAACACAATTCTGACCTTTTTAGTGGTCTCATCCATTTATCACAAAACAAGGTGCATGGAAAATAGAAAATTAAGAAAAACTTACACTGATAGTTTGCACAAAATAAACCTTGTAAAACACAAGGAGCCTTAAATATCACTTTGTCTTAGCTTCCAGACTAATTTGTCTTAAAATTTAGGATTGCGCAAATTTATGGCAAAATAATTTGCGCAAAAACTTTAAATCAAGTCTCGGAAGCTGGTTCTCTCGAGTTAGTAAAAAAAATTAAATTTAAGAATGTTCTTCAATTCTGAGCTTAGTTTTAAAGAGAAAATGCCTTGCAAGCTAAGGTTACACAGAATATCACTATCCAAGAGACACGGTGGAACTCAACTGCACAACCTCAATGACCCAACGATCCAGACTCTTTCAATCTGGCTCCAACCCCATATGTCCCATTTTGGCTCTAAATATAATTTGTATACGACAGTATCATTCTGTGTTCCTGGTCTCATAAAAGCGAAGGGCCCAAAATGATGGGTTAAATTTTCTGTGGCTATTTTCCACAGGACAACAGAGGCCAAATATCACATACCAAATAAAGCATTTCTGAGAGTCTAAGAGCTAAATGAAGAACACGCTGAACATTGCAGGGTAAACTGTAAAGCAAAAGTCTCAAATTATGGGTCATTGGGAAAGGTTTGAATATATTTTTAGCACAAGTCCTCAAGTTTTTTAAAAAAAGCTGCAGAGGCAACAACATTAAAGTTCAGTTAAATGGTTAATTGTTGCAGCTTCAAGAATGAGAATGTATACATTTTTAAAAATCTAAACCAGTTCCTGTAAATCTTAAATTATATATTCTCTTTAGAAAGCCCATTATAAACAACCTGCTGGATAGTTATTTTATTATGCCCTTGAGATACTAAGATCCTGTACGAAGACAAAGTGAATTAAACCAATTTGAGTAAAAGCTTATTTAAAATATTTTTGATGCACGTGTGACCTGGGAGGCATATTGGCCAATACAGCAAAACCTGAGATATGATCGGATCAAAGGTTCAGTTCTTCATTTAAATCACGGAATTCCAATTCAGATCCAAAGACTGTTCCATTTCCCGGGAGTACCATACATCACTTTGATAGAACATTCACTTTATTCCTGTTTGCTCTCATTTTGGGAAAGACATGTTCATGCTTTGACATGTTCATACCACATGAAAGGCACCACTGTACAACGCAAGCTATTGATTGACGGACAACATTTATTCAACAAGTTTTGTTTTGAAAAACTGTAGCTGGTTCAGGCTTAACTTATTCGATTAATGCCAACATTGAATGTCACCCTTTTGTTAAAAAAAATCACATTTGGATTAAAGCATTTCTAATTAACTAGGTTTTAGGATACATGTAAACTCACCACAATTTGAGATATTGAATAGTGAAAATTCAAATAACCCATCTGACTAAGTCATGGGTAAGATTTCAAGCTTGCGAGAACCCAAAAATGAATTGTTTTGGCAAACTTCGGCAACAGACTTCCAGTCAATTCAGATCTGGCACCTTCCTCTTCCTCCCACAACCTCTCTTCTTTTTGAATCCCCTCCCCACCACCTTTCACCCTTACTCACTATATTATGGTCCAATTTTCATTCACTGATCGACATTCGAGAGAAAGCTTTTCCTTTGGGACCTGTGTTAAACATCACAAAAAGGTGTTCAGAGTGAAGCACTTCCTGCTCTAACAGTTTACCTAACCACAGATTCAGGGACGTACCTGTGTTACTCTGCCAGTCCTGGGACAACTTATACACATCATGGGAAATTTTGTTGTGACATCTTACCTGCTGGGAAATGAGTTGTTACTGCCCTAAACCAACTTCGCATAGGACCCAAACAAGCAGGCGAAGATGTTCATCCCATTGTATGGGTTGGATTGAAACCCGGGTTCAGAGGTGAAGCAACAGATTTCTAACCTAACTGAGCCCTTCCCTCATCCCTCTGGACAAAGAAAATTCAAGATGCTAATGACGAGTTCAGTGTTCAAACAGAACACATTGAAGGTCAGTTTTGTTGGTGGGTGGGCAACTAGAAGTAACAGATGGCACTGCAGCAGAAATGAAGGGTCAAATTAGACAGCTGGCAATTTGTCTTCATAGTCAAGTTTTGTACTTATATCTAAATACAGAAGAGCAATAAATCCAGTGTGGTCAGGTTGTGAACCTAACCGTTGTTATAATTCAAGCTATATAAATAATGAATTTCATTTCAAGGGTCCAAGAATCGGTCAAGTACTGTTTTCAGTTTATCACAAATTTCCCATTAGTATTTTTAAATAAACATTCGGTTTTGGAAAACAACCTTGGAACTAGTGCGTTGCCACCCAAACACAACCCAATAACACCCCTTAAAACATTCCCATAAAGGAAAATTTTCATCTTAAAACAAACTGTTTACTTGTCAGCAAAATACTAGAATTCGTCCCATATGTTTAGTGTTCAAACAAAACTGTGGCTGGGATCAGCACAATACATTACAGTATATTTTTTCACATTGTGAAGCACTTTGAGACGTTTCGAAGATATGATAAGGCACCATTACAAATGCAAGGATTATTATTATTATGTCAAGAGGCTAAGACCATACCCAGCCAATACACCCAGGTACTATTATTAGAAGTGTTTCAGGTAACAGATCAATTGGCGGCAATTAAATTTAAAAACAAAATGAGCTTCTAGAAGTTGCTTACAGAATTAGATCATTCCTTTTGTAAAAATACTGTGTCAAATGATAACTTCTGTCAGACATCAATAAACTTGCTTTTGTAAAGTGGGTGATAAATGCCTGAAATCTTTTTTTAAAAATAAAATTGTACTATAGAAAATGAAATACAACACTGAGCTGCATTCTGGCTAAGAGAAAACCTGCAGATGCATCTGTGGTGCTTTTCAAACCTCTTTTGCAGCAAAACAACTCAAGGTTCGACAATTACCATTCATCCGTCATGCTGGCTGAGCACCTTATGGGTGCCAGACAACTAGAACACGCTCAGCAGTTTCCTCCAAAGTTATATGGTGCAAACATTAAGCAAGCTTGCAATCCAGCACTTCATCCCCAACACTCAAAAGGCAAAATACTGCAGATGCTAGAAATCTGAAATAAAAACAGAAGTCGCTGGGAACACTCAGCAGGTCAGGCAGCATCTATGGAGAGAAGAAAGTGAGTTAATGTTTCAGGTCGATGACCTTTCGTCAGAACTGCCAAAATGTCATCGACCTGAAACGTTAACTCACTTTCCTCTCTCCATAGATGTTGCCTGACCTGCTGAGAGTTCCCAGCGACTTCTGTTTTTAACTCTTCTTTGTTCGGTGGGGGAAGGAAGGGTTGTGCTCATCAAAGAGAGATACATCGGTGTTCGACAGTGGAATTCATAATTTGGGCACTCAACGTCAGCATTAAGTACTGTACTATTGTTTGGAAGAATGGGAAGATGCAGAGTAGAGACTTTCCACTTGAAAGTCACAAGTAAATAAAAAGGAAATATGTGCAAGTTGCGAATCATACAACGTTTGACACAGATTTCTCCAATGGTCCATTTGGTAAAACTGCTGCCAAATTTAAACACGCACACACCTCTGCTTACCACAAGTTTGTAATGACCTCTGTCCATGAACAATTTTATTAATTTCAGAGGTTAGTTTAAAATATTAAATTATTCTTCTGGGATACCACTCTCATCAGAAGTGCCAATAACATTTCTGAAAAGCGTTCAAAAAGACAACAGTATGTGTCAATAAGGCAACTCAATCACTTTCAAGTATTGGGTACAATATTACAGCAATTTCTAAAATGGATTCTCATTTCTAGATTACATTTTGTTTCACTGAATTTACTGCATGTAAATATATGCAGCAAACAAGTACTACAGATTTATCATCAGACTTTTTGGTCACAGGGATAAAGAAAAAGAACACAAAGCAAAAGCTGGAATCTCGAAACTTTCTTTTTGGGGGGAAGAAAACAGGAGAGAAATCTTGTAACACAAAAGCATATAAATTTTGGTGCACAACAGAAGGGGTGTACAGTTTTGGACCATATTAAACATATTATATTAAACATAACCACAAACATCAGGCTCTGCTTATAGGATTTGCCTGTCTAGATTTTATTAGAGCAATCGCTGTATAACTGCCACTTAACCATGTTTTTGTGCTAATATGTACACACACACTAATACCGCAAGTCTCTCACAAACTGCAATGTTCTAAAGGTCACAGACTTGGACTCACTGCAGTACAGTAACACTCACATAAATCGTATAATTTGGGACCATAACGTTTAGCAAAGTCAAACTGTACAAGTCATATAAAATCCGATTTATCAATAATCTACACTGCTCATGCGTAATTCAATGCAGCCGGTAAGTGCCCATGTGGTGAAAGGTCAATGTGTCGTGATTCAATGCGCCGTGACCCATCGCCACAGGCGCATTTACCGACAAGTGTTGGAATCACACATTGATTCGCGGGAAATAAAGTTCTTCTGTGCATGTGTTGATGGATCAAGGCTATGTTTTCCGCGATTCAATGCAGCCACCCTGTAAGTGCGCATGCGTCGACGAGTCAGAATGTCAATTCCCGCAATTCAATACAGTCGGAAAGTGCACGCGTAATAAACGAGGGGAATTATGAGTTGGGAGGTTATAAATATGACTGGTGCAAAGAAATCTAAATGGTTTTGATAGGAAACTGAATGAGGGGATACAACTTAGGCGATTATTACTCTTTATAAAGATAAGACTTATGCAAGTTTTACTGTATTACACTGTTGATTTCCTCAGGATAGGAGTGTGAACTGAAGCTCAACGAATTGTGTCTGGCTAACACGCCAGTCCGAATTTCAAGCCAGTCCCAAAACGTGCAGGTCAAATTATTAGAATTCCTTGTTTTCAAGCAACCATTATTTAGGTTTGAAAAGAGATATCTGGCATAACTCCAAAAGGAATGCTGCTTGCCGAGAATTACATCAGGCATCCGAACCTAAAAGCCTCACATTCAATGCAGGAGGAGGATGAGGGGGCTTTCACCTTTGTTTTCAAAGAAACAACAACAACAAAATTACATTTTTATACTGCCTTTCACGTTGGGAGGACGTCCCAAGGCGCTGGACAGATAGGGTTACGGACCCGAGCTGAGGGCCGGGCTGGGGGAGGGGGGAGGGCTGGGGCAAACAGACAGCAAAAACGACAGGTAAATTCAGAGAAGCAACGATCCCAGTTGAATTGATCAAAAAGACAGATTGCAATAAAGACGATGAAGATGGAGACAAGAAGTCTATCACGCCACAATAGTTTTTTGAATTTTGGATCGGGAGTGCAGGTGTTGCGCTAAAGAGTCCTGTCAGATATTGGAGCAATATTCACATTATGAATAGTTGAGCTACATAGATTTAAGCACTGCAACAAACTGTTTGGCAAACGGTGATATTTGCCTAAGAAATGAAAGATTAAACTCAAGGGCATAAATGCTACTTGGTTTATTTCTCATCGATGATTCCTCTCGGGTAGACATGCCTGACCTCGGTCGGCTTGGTACCATCCACCAATGGCAAATCTGAGATTCAATACTGGCCTTGTGGGGAATTGCATGCAAAAGCATGTTCTAAGCCTTTTTGTAGCAGAATGTTTGTGTACAACATTTAATTTTCATGAAGTATTCATACCTTTCACTTTGTTCAGCATGCATAATGCTTCCTTATTCTTTTCTGCTTCACTCATTAATTTTTCTATTTTATTCTATTCGGCTATAATTTGCATTTTTGAGTACTTCACCAAATTCACTTTTAATTTTTTTATTTTTTCAGTGATTCATTAAAAAAGGAACTGACTGGAAATCGCTTTCATATTGTAGTTAAATAAAAAATGATGTTTCGTCGCCTAAAGGAAGATATAGATTTTATTAATGAGAACCCCATGGAAATAGCTTCTTTTTAAATTAAAAACCTAACCAAGTTATGAATACTGATTCAGTAATTATGTATACATTGCATACAATGAAAGATTAAAATTTACATTCCATTTTATGACATATCTCCAGTATCCACTCAAAGGTAACTGTTGTTTTTCTTAAGTACTGGATTAAGTTGAGAAACACAACATAGTCTTGTTACAAAGCGTTCAAGACGCTGTCCAGCATGAAGGGCGCTATATAAATGCGAGTTGTTGTTTCTGCAATATACATTTAGACGAAAGGTGTCTCAATTCTATGCAAGAATAATAGCAAAGAACCCTAGCAACCTTCAACTTCTTTTTAAAATGCTTTAAAGAGTGAAGGGATATTCTTGTAATATGCTAGATAGGCATTCTTGTAATATCCTAGGCATGCGAGCCCAAGGCAACACGCCACGGAACAACAACAAAATTACACTTATAGAGCGCTTTTCACGTCGGGAGGACGTCCCAAAGCGCTGAACAGTCAGGTGTCGGGGCCCGAGCATGAGGTGTAGGTGTAGGGGTGAGGGAAAGCAGAGAGATGGCACGATCGAAGAGAAGGGTCTTGAGACCAACCTTGAAGGAGGCAAGGGAGGAAGCGAGGTGGATGGAGTTCCAGAGTGAAAGCCTGGTCACCGACGATAAGGCGGGTCGGGCGGGAGACATGGAGCAGGCCGGAGCCCACTGAACGGAGGGAGCGGGCA